TCTTCCGGGACAGCACGACACTTACACCACTTCCTGCGCCTGTTTCTGTGGCTTTGGCTGATCCCACTACGGGACCAGTCACTGCACGTCACACTACCACTTTACCGTGTCCTGCTGCTCCCTCCGGGTCTCTCACTGGGTTTCACGTCCCCTCGTTCTCCCGGAACTTGGTGGGCGTGCGACCCCTCGTGAGTCAGCACGTGGGTGTGTGGTTTGAGCCTTCTGGAGAGACTGCGGTGTGTGTTGACGGAGACTCTTACCAGCCTCTTGCTACCTTTACTGCTGAGCCGGGCTCAGGTCTCTACACTCTTCACACTGGCCCGCGTGCGCCGCAGCAGCAGCCGCAGCAGCAGCAGCAGCCGCAGCCGCAGCAGCAGCAGCAGCAGCAGCAGCTGCACCAGCGGTCGCACCAGCCGCCGCCCCTACTGCCACTGCCCCCGGTTCCCCCCCCCGTTCGGGTCCCCGCGTCTCACCAGGTTGCTTCGTCCCCCCAGGTGTCTGTGTCGTGTCAGGTTCCTACGTCTGCTCCAGTCGCTGCGTCGTGCTCCTGTCGGTCGCTTGCCCACCCCACCGTTCTGTGGCACCACCGGATGGGGCACCCGTCCCTTCCTCGTCTGCGCGCTATGTCTAGTCAGCGTCTTGTCCTAGGCCTCCCACGTGTCTTGCCGTCGCTGCCGCCTTCGCTTGCGCCGCCGTGTGGTCCCTGCGTCGAGGGTTGGCTGCGCGCCGCCCCTCACTCCTCCTCCTTTCGTCCGGCCACCGAGCCTTTTGAGACGCTTCACTTGGACGTCTGGGGCCCCGCCCCTCGTCTAGACCCTGAGCGTGAGCGCTACTTTCTGGTGGTCGTTGACGACTTCTCCCGCTACACCACAGTGTTCCCTCTGGCGAAGAAGTCTGAGGTGACTTCTACGCTGATCAGGTGGTTGCTCACCACCGAGGACACTCGTGGTCGTCGTGTCAGCTGCCTCCACTCCGACCGTGGGGGTGAGTTTCGCTCCGGCATTCTCGCTGGATTCTGTCGCGAGCAGGGCATTCGTCAGTCCTGGACGCTTCCAGAGTCCCCACAGCAGAATGGGGTTGCTGAGCGCCGCATAGGCCTGGTCATGGAGATCGCCCGCACCTCCCTGACTCACGCCTGTGCCCCCCATTTTCTGTGGCCCTACGCGGTCAGGTACGCCGCGCACCAGCGGAACCTCTGGCCACGTGTCTCTCGACCAGAGGTTTCACCGACCAGTCTTTGGACAAGGTCCCTTCGTGTTGCGTCGCGGTTTCGTGTCTGGGGGTGCTTGGCTCTTGTCCGCGACACCTCCGCGGACAAGCTCTCGCCTCGTGCCGTCCCCTGTGTCTTCCTTGGTTTCCCTGAGGACTCCTCTGACTTCACCTTTTACCACCCTCCCTCTCACCGGTTCTTTGACTCCCGTGACGTCCGTTTCGAGGAGTCCACTCCGTACTACGTCAGGTACCCCAGTCGAGGTCTCCAGGTTCCTCCTCCTCCCCTCTTCTTGACTGCCACTCCCCCTCCTGTTCCCCCGGTACAGCCTCCCCCCCCTGGTCCAGCCCCGTCGGGTGTGTCCCAGGCTACCCCTCCTCCTTCGGTAGCCTCTCCGGTACAGCCTCCCTCCCCACAGTCCTCCTCGCAGCATGCCGCAGGTGCTAGCTTTCGAGAGGTTGGTGCTGCGCCTGTTCCTGTACCGGTTTCTGGTTCTGGGGGTGCTGGAGTTAGAGCTGGAGTTGGAGCTGGAGTTGGCACTGGAGTTTCTGGTTCTGGGGGTGCTGGGGTTGGAGCTGGAGTTGGAGCTGGAGTTTCTGGTTCTGGAGTTGGAGCTGACCCGGTGGGTGCAGAGGACTCTTGTCGTCCGGGAGCTGGTGCTGGTCGCGCGGACACTAGGGGTGAGAGTGCGCCTCCTTCGGGTTCTGGTGAGCCTGGGTCTGGAGCTGGTGTTAGTGCTGCCTCTGGGGGTGGTGCGCCTGGTTCTTCGGGGGTGGACTCTGGAGCTACCGCTGCTTCGGACACTACTCCGCCCCCCCACCCCTACCCGACTAGGCACCAGGCTCGTGTTCGCCGTGCCCGTGACGAGCAGCTGGCGTTGGAGAGAGAGGAGAGGGAGTTACAGCGGCTGGAGGAGCAGCAGCAGCAGCTGGAGCCGCAGGAGCAGCAGCAGCAGCTGGACCCGCAGGAGCAGCAGTCCCAGCAGCAGCCGCTTCCGCAGCAGCCGCTTCCGCAGCAGCAGCAGTCGCAGCAGCAGCAGCAGCAGCAGCCACTTCCTCCTCCTGTCTCGGGTCTTCGGACCCTTGGTCTCCCCTCCCCTTCTCCTCCCTCCTCCGCCTCTCCTCCTGTCTACGGTCCCACGTTTCCTCCTCCTGACTCCTCCCCCGCTGTTTTCCCCAGTTCTCCGCCTTTGTCCTCTCCTCCCCCATCTCGTTCTTGGGCTACTCGTCGCTCCCTTCGTGCTCGTCCCTCGTCTCCTGTTCCCTTCACTGACCTTCGTACTGCCTTCCTTCTTTCTAGTCCACCTCGTCCGTCTCAGTCTGTGCTTCCGTCTCCTCCTAAGTCGGCCCTCACTGTGTCGCTCCCTACTCGTGTCACTGACTACTACCGCACGTACCGTCCTGTTCTCTCTCGTGTTCTCGCCTCTCTTGTTACTCACCCTCGTGCCTCTGTGTCCTCTGTGTCCGCTCTTACTGCCGCAGTTACTGACTTTGCCTCTACCCGCCGCCTTGACTACGCCACCACGCTTGTGGCTGCTCCTCCTACCAGTCCTCTGGCCGTCGGGGGTGTGTCTGCCCTTGGCTGTGACGCCCTAGAGGACAGGCAGTTTGAGCTAGAGTTCCTGGCGGCCGCTCCCCCTCATCTCTGTGCCATGCTCCTCGCCCCTGAGGGTGACCCCGACGCCCTTGACATTCCGACTCCTCGCACTTACGCTGAGGCAGTGTCAGGGCCTTGGGCCTCTCAGTGGAGAGCTGCCATGGACGCAGAGATGGCCTCCTACAGATCCACAGGCACCTACGTCGATGAGGTTCCCCTCCCTGGGGCGAACGTAGTCGACGGCATGTGGATCTACAGGGTGAAGCGGCCACCGGGATCTCCCCCGGTCTTCAAGGCGCGCTACGTGGCTAGAGGTTTCAGTCAGCGCGAGGGAGTTGACTTCTTTCAGACCTTCGCACCTACCCCGAAGATGACCACTCTTCGGGTGTTACTACACGTAGCAGCACAGAGAGACTACGAGTTACACTCTCTCGACTTCTCCACTGCTTTCCTTCAGGGCAGCCTACACGAGGAGGTCTGGTTGCGTCGTCCCTCGGCCTTCACTGGCACCTTCCCTCCTGGGACCCAGTGGAGGCTGAGGCGACCTGTTTACGGTCTTCGCCAGGCCCCTCGCGAGTGGCACGACACTCTGCGTTCTACCCTCTCTGACCTTGGGTTCCAGCCGTCTTCTGCCGACCCGTCGCTGTTCGTTCGTCGTGGCTCCACACCGTTCTTTGTTCTGGTTTACGTCGACGACCTCGTTTTCGCCACTCCGGACAGGGTTGCTTTGGCAAACGTGAAGTCCGAACTGCAGAAGAGACACACGTGCACTGATCTTGGTGAGCTGCGCCACTACCTTGGCCTGCAGATCACCAGGGACAGAGCCGCTCGCACCATTACACTCTCACAGTCACACATGGTGCAGCAGGTCCTTCAGCGGTTCGGGCTTCAGCACTCCACCGTACAGCGCACACCTCTCGCTGTTGACCACAGACTCACTGGTCCCTTTCCTGACGAGCCGTTTGAGCCTAGTGGTCCCTACGCAGAGCTTGTGGGTTGCCTCATGTACCTGATGACTTGTACTCGCCCGGACCTCGCCTTCCCTCTCAGCATCCTTGCGCGCTTTGTTGCGCCAGGGAGACACCGTCCTGTTCACTGGACGGCAGCTGTGAGGGTGGCGAAGTACCTAGCGACTACATCAGGCGTGGGGCTAGTTCTTGGAGGGCAGCAGTCTGTCGTACTCACTGGTCACTGTGACTCCTCTTACGCTGACGACGCTGAGACTCACAGGTCTACTCAGGGGTACTGTTTCAGTCTGGGTTCTGGAGCTGTTTCCTGGCGTTCCACGCGCTCTTCTTCTGTCTCGACCTCTACAGCTGAGGCTGAGATTTACGCTGGTGCCATGGCGGCACAGGAGTTGCGTTGGTTGACCTTCTTGCTCGCCGACCTTGGTGAGCGGCCGAGCTCTGCACCGACCTTGTTCACTGACAACAAGGCGTCGATCCTCCTCTGTCGTGAGCCGCGACTGGAGAGCAGAGTGAAGCACATTCACGTCAGGTACTTTCTTCTGCGAGAGTTGCAGAGACGTGGACAGGCTCGCTTCGAGTTTGTGGAGTCCGAGGCCAACACTGCAGACATCTTCACCAAGGCGCTTCCGCCTCGTGACCACCAGAGGTGTTGTGTGCAGTTAGGCCTTGTTGACACAGGTTCTAGTCATGTGTAGGCTTGAGTTTATTGCCTGCTTCGTCTGTACTCTTGCTATATATACTTGTGATCTCTTGGACTGGCCTTGTGGCCACTGTTGCTTGTGCTCAGAGAGTGTGGTGACGTTGTGATCCACCCTGAGCTTTGTTTTCTTTTGGACTGGTCTTGTGACCGTACTCTTTTTTTTTTATTTTGCTAGACACCCCTCACTTAGGCTATGGGGGTGTGTCAAATGTTGTAGCCTGTAGTGAGGTTTGTCTTAGGGGGTACAGAAGTTAGGGTTTGTTATATGTACCCCAACCAACATCAATGGCATCATCATTCCTCATTTTGACACCCGGGTCTTAAAAATTTGCAACCGCCAAGATGTCCACCCTAGCACTTTTTCAAGCAATTCTAGAGAGTCCCCCGGGTCTTCTAGCCGGAACTATACGGTATGTCGAGGAATTATGGCATAAATTACTACCGGTACAAAAAAATCTTAGGAATTTGATCTATCATCTACAGCTTCACCACCATAGGCCAAAGCTTTGTCCAGCCATGCTTCACTTCACTCCCAAGGCCAGCTAGCAACACCGTCACTCCCAAGGCCAATGGGGGGCGATGTCAATGCAGTCGGTACCAACGTGAGCACTGCAACGTCATTACGTGAGATGTTACGGGCAAAACTGCGACCCGCAAAAGCACCACCGGCAAATGCATTACCGGGGAAAACGTTTCTCCCAGACCCAGCAGCCACCATCACAACCCTCTCTAACTCCACCACTCTCCGCTCTAGTGCATCTACATACCCCACTGCTCTGTCCAGCATCGCACACGTGTCTCCTCGCCCCCGCACCTTCACCCTCAGCTTCTGCAGGCCCTCACTAATCCTCTCCCTCCTTCGCCGCTCCGCCATGCTGCGTCTCTTAATCCTCTGGTTCGGTGCCGAGCCTGTCCCGACGCCTTGGCACCGAGGCATCCACTCGTCGTCCGTGCCACAGTCGTCTTGCATGGTGCCGCACTCGCACCCCTTGGGATTATCCAGGCCATCTGGGCACCAATCAGGCTCCTGTGTAAGAACCGCTACGGCAAGGCGCTCGTCAGACTGCCACTGACCCATGCCATTCATACCTCGCATACCATCCTTTCCTTCTATGCATTGCATGCCCTCTGTGCCCTCCATGCACTCTTCCCCAACCACGTGCCCACTGCTGGTGGTCGCCGCACCGCCTGCCGAGCCTGTGCGCGCCGAGCCTGCACTGCCTCGAGAACGGGGCTTGTTGGCCTCTGGCGACGGCTGGTGCTGGGACCCTTGCTCACACCTCTGCAGCTCCTGCTGCTGCTGCAGTGGCTGCTCCTGCAGTAGCTGCTGCTGGTGCTGCTGCAGACCTTGCTGCTGCTGCTGCTGCTGCTGCAGACCTTGCTGCAGCCGCTGGCGCTGGTACAGGAGGTGAATGTGCTGCCTTGCCATCACCGTCATGCTGCCATGAGGAGGAGACCAAGAGAACGGCCCTGGTGCTGGTCCCGTTCCATCTGGCACTGCCCCCACTGGAACTGCGTCTGCAGCTGCTTCGGCCTTGCAGTGTAAGCCTTCCAACACACCACTCCGGCTCGCATACCCCAGCATGCTGCCGTGGTGCCACTGGTGCACAGCTGTAGCACAGCCAGTGGGTGCCTCTGGGCTTCGTCTCTTCCTTCGAGCGGCGATCGCTCCACAAACGTTTGTAGCAGCTCCGCCGAAACCGCCACCGCTGATGCCACGCATGCGCATAATGTTGAGATGGGTGTCATTACTCACAGTCACAGCACTGGGGGGGTTGATGCCAACACCGGGTAGCAAGAAATCAGGGTTACTGCTAACACCATTGTCGATACCACTGCCGCCACCGCTGCTGCCACCACTGCCGCTCCAATCCCCTCCCCGCCCATCCATGCACCCCAATAAGCCAGCACCACGAGCCAAAGCGCCATCTGGACCGTATTTGGGAGCATAGAAGGAGGCAAGGCCGTCTCCCACAGCCCCCCCCGATGCTAATCCCCGGTGGTGCTCGTGCTCAGCCCTTGCTTCCGCATGAAAAGGCGAGTGATCTGAAAACCAGTGCTGCTGCGCGGGCTGCTGCTCCTCATTCCTTCCTTCCTGCTCCTGCTGCTCGGGCTGCTGCTGCTCGGGCTGCTGCTGCTCCTCCTGCTGCAGCGCTTGCGGTTCTTGAAGGTCCCCTGACAGCTCTTGACCTCCCATCACCCTCTGCCGCCGCTGCCGCTTCAGTGCATTCTGCCTCGTCTTCTGCTGCTGCGCCTCCTGCGCCTGCTGTTCCTCCACCTGCTTGAGTGCTCGCAGAAGAGACAACAGCTGCCGCCTCTCGCCCTCGCTGCCTGCTCCCATCTGCAGAGTCGCCATCACTCGGCTCGACAGCACAGCCTGCTCTCGCCTCGCCTCTGCTGCTGCTGCTGCGGCGGCGGCGGCTGCGGCTAATGCCTTCTGAGTCGCCTCAAAAGCCACCTTCTCTTTCCTTGCCTGCTCTCTCCTTGCTTCCGCTGCTGCTGCAGCAGCCACTTGAAACCGGGGGGTTCGTGCGGCAGGCGCCGTGTGCTCGTTGGGGACGGGAAGCGAGGCCGCGGCATTCATACATAGCAGCTGTTCGCATGTGCGATGCTCATGGTAATGGTTTCCGTGGCTTCGATAGCTCCCATCATTACGCAAGCTGCCATTGCTTCTAGTATCCACAGCGTCTCCACCGTCCCAGTGCTGCGGCGCCTCTTGCTGCTCTGCTTGTTGCTCTGCTTGCTGCTCTGCTTGTTCATGTGCTCGCTCCTGCTGCTGCCACGCCGCCTGCTGGTCTGCTTCCGGTAGTCCCAGCGAGCATGCGAGCTTCGACAGGCCGGCCAGCGTGCGTTCCATCCGAGGCTGCACCTCCCCGCGCGGCGCTCCTGGCGACGCAGGCCCTTTCTGCATCGCCCCCTGCGCTCCTTGCATCGCGGTAGCAGCAGCAGCAGCTTCAGCAGCAGCTGCAGCAGCAGCCTCACCAGCACGCTTTGTCAACCCAGCTGGGAGTCCGACCACCGAGGAGTCCTCTGCCGCATCCGCTTCACCAGCCATCTCCGCTCCGCCCACTGCGGTCATCTGAGGCTCGGCAAGAGGCTCGTTTAGCCGCGGTTCGGAGCGAGGTTCGGTGATGTGTAGCTCTAACGCCTCCTCGTGAAAGCGCGCGCTGCTTGCCAGCCAGGAGAAGCGTCGCTCCCTGGGTTCCTCCTGAATGAAATTCTGCTGCGCGGCCGGCGCGGCCGGCGCGGCGAAAGGCGAAGGAAGGTCGTCCATTGCGAAGAGTGCGGCCGCGAGAGAGTCCGACGTTACGCCGTCGGCCGCGGCCGCCGCGGAGATGGAAACGCTGTGCGCCATAGCAGTAGTAGTTGTTGTAATGCTGTGAGGCATGACGTAGATGGGCTTGCTTGTAGTAGTGTTAACGTCTCCGTGACTTACTAGCTGTGAGCGAGTCTTGGATGGCGCCGCGAATAGGCGGGGCGCCGAGCGACGATGCGACGCGACACGACAGGACTTTACTGCTATCACTTCAAGAGGGATTGAGAAAATTAGTAGCCTCGATTGGGTTAACTTGAAGTGGTATCCTGGAAGATATCGTTTGGGATTCGTTTAACATGGAGGCTTCCATATGTGGATCTGGTAAATATAGAAACCTTTCTTGCGATATCACTATTTGTGGAGCGTTACTAACGACTGCCGCAGCTTTCCTCGACAAATCTGATTTGGAAGTATCGTGCGAAACGCCCCCCGCCGACATCGCGCACCGCGAGGAGACGGAGCGAGAGTCCTTTGCGGGGGAAAGTAAGTCTCCGAATCGTATCGTAACGAGAAGCGGACAGCATAGTATCGCTTTGCTGCCGCAATCGCGGCGCGAACAGATCGTGGAGAATTTCTGCTGGTTACGTTCCAGCTGCGGCGACGCGTCCCACGGAGAAAAGCGCGAGAAGCTCCGGCTGACAGTCTCCCGCCCCGCACATGTTTTTGACGGCAGTCAACCGCCATCGCGTGGGTTGCACACAACTTGTATGATGACGTGGCTCCACTCTCCCACATTACTCGTCTCAGCGACTCAGACTTCGCGAACAGCACTACAGTTCTATAGCTTGACGTCCACTCAAAGTGGGTAACGAGATTCGGATCTAGGTGCGCTGGCAACGGTCAAATGGCCGCCTCGTGCGAGTTATGGTGCTTCGAGATGGGATGACTGATGAGATGAGAGAGTGGTGCGAGATTGCGACGGATGATTGAAGATCTACTCCACAATAAAGCCAGAAGAGTGGAGTGAGCAGCTGGGCCAAAGGCCCCACTGAACCGAACTGGAGCCCCGACAACACCGAACCCAATTCAAGGTGTTGAGTTGGGAGAGGAAGGGTGGGCGAGTCCCGAATCCGAACGGGAAGATACGTGCACAGTGCAGCACGTGTATTCGAATGCTCCGGTTTAGAAGCTCGCGCTATTAGGGTCCATTTTCAGAATGTTGTAGATTTTCCCCAGAAGTCCTAACGATGGGTAACTGGGGCCCTCCTACATACCGGTAGTCCCCTTTTTGCCAAGAATTTTTGCCATGTGATGGGTTTGACACATGTGCATTCTTCAGAGAGGTCCATGAAGTTTCTCGAAAAACCCCCGAAGTCTTTCAAAATTCTGAACGATCCCTCCCAACATTCACGAATAATACGTTACACTACACACTGTTATATTTTACTATGGTTGATTTCCGCAAAGCTTAAAAGCTGGTTGTATGCCCTTCCTCTTCCGTGTGTTGTCCTAACTGGGCCTCCTTGACCCCTTTGTACTGGGTCTGCCTCATGCAACATGACAACACACTTACTGTCAATAACCTTGCCAGCCCCACCTTCCCGATTCGCACGGTTGTTACGGTACCGTAGTCGAGGCTGCCCGTCCGCTCCGCTGGCAACATTACATTGATATTTGTCTCTGACATTGAGATCTTTTGCTTTTACACGTCGTTATTCCTCCCTGGCTTCGCACTTTTTGCGACACGACACCGCCTCAATTTTCCCTACGGTAACTCTGTCGTCCCCTTACTCGGTTGGTTCCAACCGGCCTCCCTCAACTCACACACTCACCTTGGCATGTCTCTCAGAATTTTGGAAATAAAAGAAGCAGTGCATAATGCATGGAAACCACAAACACCATAGGCTAATACCAGTATGGTGCCGTACATCATGGCCAATGCACAAAAACCTACCGGTACCTGGAAATCAGAATGACCTGACAAAAAAAGTCCCTGAGAATTTGACAAACTACCCCGTGGTTTTTCTGAAAAGCACCAGTGTAAACCCTAAACCAGCGTGCCTTTGTCCAGCACGGCTCAACAAGCACAGTCACTCCCAAGGCCAGTCGGCAATAGCGTCACTCCCAAGGCTAGTCCGGGCGGATGTTAACGCAGCCGGTATCGTCGCCAGCGCCGCGACGTTATTCAAAAAAACGTTACCGCCAAAACCGCGACGGGGAAAAGCACCACCACCGGCAAACGCATTGCCGGGGAAAACGTTCCTCCCAGACCCAGCAGCCGTCATGACAACCCTCTCTAACTCCATCACTCTCCGCTCTAGTGCATCTACATACCCCACTGCTCTGTCCAGCATCGCGCATATGTCCCCTCGCCCCCTCACCTTCACCCTCAGCCTCTGCAGCTTCTCGCTGATCCTCTCCCTCCTCCGCCGCTCCGCCATGCTGCGGCGCTTGATCCTCTGGTTCGGCGCCGAACCACTCCGAATGCCCTGGCTCCGGGGCAACCACTCGTCTTCCGTACCACACTCATCGTGCATATTGTGTTCGTGGCCGTTGCCTTCGCTCTCGTGTCTCTCCCCACTCTCGTGTCTCCTCTCCCCGCGCTCTTCTCGTGCGCACCACCCGTCTACGCCCCCGCACTGATTCTCCTCAGCATCTGTGTTGCACACAGGCGGCTGAAAACACGCGTCTAGACCAAAGTCGTCATCAGGATGCCACTGGCCGTCCGTACCCTCCACGTCGCCCGTGCCGCCCATGCTGCCTGTGCCGTCTGATCCGCTCACTTGCCCATCCATTGCATCATCGCCCACGCCTATGCCTGCCGAGCCTGCGCTCCCTCGACAGGGCTGTCTGATGGCCACGTAAGACAACTTCTGCTCACACGCCGGCTCACGCCTCTGCTTCCTCTGCTGCTGCTGATGGTCCTTGTCCTGAAAGTGCATGTGGAGGCGAGGCCAAGAGCCGCGAGTTGCTGCTGCCTCCACTGGCGCTGCTGCTGAATCCTCGACACCGCCCACTGCACGTGCCTCCCTGGTGGACATGGCTTGCAGCGCATCACTCCGCCTGTACTGCAAGACCGGCGAGTCCGGCACCATCGCACCCATGCCAGGGCCCAGGATAGACGCCCCCATGCCTGCTGCTCCGCTGCCCATGGCTGGGCTCCGCTGCTCGAACGAGGCACTGCCTGGCCCAAGCACGCCCCGACTGTAGCACGCATGGGAGGCCTGCCTGGCGTGCTGCTGCCACGTGTGAGCGGCTGTAGCGATGCCAGCCGGGCGCTCTGGGCATTTCCTCTTCTTTCCTGCGTCGCTCGCTGACTGGGTGCAAGTGCTGCTGAAAAGGGTGCTGCTGATGGTGCCGTGTGTGCCCACCAACCCGCTGCTATCGTAGATCCCGTTACTCATGGCGCTGCATGGGTTGTTGTTGATACCACTGCCACGCGGAGCAAACTCGGGGCAACTGCTGCCGCAGCGGCCGCTGCTGCCGCAGCGGCCGCCGCTGCCACCGCCGCTGCCACCATAACTGCCACTCCTCTCCCCACTGCGCCCTCTTCCACCACGAGCCAATCGCAGCGCGCCATCTGGACTGTATCTGGGGGCAAACGTGGAAGCAAGGGCGGTCTCCACTTGCTTCGCTGACGTTCCGGCCTCTGGAAGAGCCGAGAAAGCTGAGAGCCACTGCTCATCCTGCCCTCCTTCCATCTGCTGCTGCTGCTGCTGCTGCTGCTGCTGCTGCTGCTGCTGGTGCTGGTGCTGCTCCTGTTGCTGCTTTTCACTCACCGTCCTCTGTCCTTTCTGCCCCTTCTGCCGTTTGTTCTGCTTCTGCTTCGGGCTCAGCCCGGGTTGCTGTGAAAACTGCTCCGCCTGCTGCGCCTGCTGCTGCTCCTCCACCTGCTTGAGCGCCTGCAGGAGGGCCAACAGCTCCCGACGCTCGTCTGTGCGGCCTCTCCCCATCTGCAGCCTCGCCATCACTCGGCTTGACAGCACCGCTTTCCCTCCCTCCGCCTCCGCCTCTGCCTCTCCCTCCGCCTCTCCCTCTGCTTCTGTTGCTGCAGCAGCTGCTTCTTGCTGCAGCATCTCCTGCTGCTGTGCTTCCTGCTGCTGTGATTCCTCCAGTCCCAGGGAGCATGCAATGTGTGAGAGGCCAGCCAGCATGCGCTGAATCTGCACCTCCTTGCTCGCCGATTGCTTCGCAGCAGCAGCAGCTCCAGCAGGCTTGTTCAAGTCCCCCAATTCCTCCTCCGCGTCCCCTCCACCGGCCACCTCCCCTCCACTCACCCCGGGACGCATCCCCAACGCTCCTCCCTCCGGCCCGCCCACACAAGTCATCAGCGGTTCAACCAGCGGCTCAACCAAAGGCTCAAGCTGCCGCGGCTTCGTGAGAGGCTGGGTGGGCAGAAGAGTCGACGTGCATCTTCCCAACAGAAGGCAGCCTCTGGTGGAAGCGAGGGCCCTAGCCGAGCGGCCAGCTGAGAGGGTCTCCCGGACCTTTGAGGTGCTCTGGGATGGGACGGCGCGAGGCGGCAACTTGAGGGAGCGTGGTGTGCGGCGGCAGCGGCGACGGCGGCGGTGCGAGCGGCGAAGGGAGGTCGTCGAATGAGAAGAGTGCAGCAAGAGAGTCCGACGCTGTTCCTCCGGGGGTGGTGGCGGTAATGGTCGTGGTAGCGCCGTCGCCGCAGCTGTTGACCAGCATAGTGCTGCCGTCTGCCATGAATAGAGCAGAGCAGTGCAGGGCAGCGTTTCGAACTCGTGGGACCAGGCCAGCACAGGCTGACAAACTTGTTGGTAAGCTCGAGATAACGCGTAGGTACGTTGTAGCAGGTGTTTTGTAGGTGCTTTGTAGCAGGAGGAGTAGAGCACGTGGGTAGCAACGCCAGCAGCAGCTCCGGATTGGCCAGGTGCTTTGGACTCAAATTCTCGGAAAATTGAAAGGGCACTCTGGGCGCGGCTCGGACTTGCAGGGCTGGTAGGCGATGGTGGTGGTGTCTTAATAAGATGGAGGAGGCGCGCCGCGCGGCGTCGAGCGCTAGTACTACTAGTAGTAGTAGATATTCAATATTCTAACAAGATGTTGGAGATTGGCGACAGTTCGATGATTGGAAAAACCTTGCTTGAAGAATGAAAAGACGGAGGAACTCTCGTGATAAAAACCAAACTCTCTTCGGAAATTCTACTATTTCTCGAAAGATTTGAAACGCTGGATTGCTTGGTCGCGATCCTTGATTGCGATTCAATTCGGCCCCGATTCGCGAAACGGCTAGCCAATCTTGGGACACGTGAGAGAGTGAGACGAGTGTGTGGGTGGGAGAGGCACTTGCGAGAATATTTAGTACAAATCGTATCGAAACTAACGACTCGTGGCAAACACTATTTTCACGCGATTTGTTTAGATCGCGGCGCCATCGACTCATCATGCTCAATCCTGCCCCGGGCCGGGGACGGGAGTCCCATCTCACGTGATAGCGAGCGCCAGTAACTTTCGACGAGAAAATCTCGCCGCGCCGCGCGTTCTTGACGCCGCCATTGCGTGGGAGGCACACAACCAACTACTACACGATGTCATGCCACGAGAGCAACGCCTAGCTCCGCAGAACGCAATCCGCTGCATTCTGTACACCTGTTCCGCGATAATTTCACACCCCCTATCTTCACCCCCTTTGTCCTTTTCTGGGGCAATCTGACCAGGGGCGGCAGAAAAGTGACCAAGGGGTGTGAAAGGAATGAACAGGAATGAATTGACTAAGTCAGAGTTGGGTACAAATACAACCCTAGCAAACTGTACCCCATATGTGCTACCCCACTATAGCCTACAAACATGCATCAGCTATAATAATCTGACACACCCCCATAGGCAAAGTGGGGGAGAACAAGGGGTCACAAGACCAGTCAAGCAAAGCAAAGCAAGCTCAGGGTGGATCACAAAGTCACCACACAGTCCGAGCACAAGAGCAAGGCCAGAGGCCAGTTCACATGCAGGAGTACAGACATATATATAAAACTAGACAAGCAAGAGCAGGTATATATATGTCAAAGTACAAGTAAAGTCAAGAAGAGAGCAAGTGAGGCAAGACAGGTACAAGACCCAGCTGGGTACAAAAGCGCTGATGGTCGCAAGGCGCAAGTGCCTTGGTGAACACATCAGCAGTGTTGGCCTCAGAGGCCACGTAAGCAAGTCGCAACTGACCACGCTGCTGCAGCTCACGAGCAAGGAAGTAGCGGAGAGCAATGTGCTTCGTTCTGTGCTCCAAGCGCTGCTCTCGACACAAGGCCAACATGGCCTTGTTGTCTACGTACAGCACTGGAGGAGAACGAGGCAGCTCTCCAAGGTCAGTCAGCAGGTAGGTGAGCCAGCGAAGCTCCTGTGCAGCCATGGCCCCGGCGTAGATCTCAGCCTCACAACTGGAGCCGAGAACCGAAGACGAGCGAGTAGACCGCCACGAGACAGAGCCGGAACCAAGGCTGAAGGTGTAACCCTGTGACGACCGCTGCGTAGCCTGGTCGTCAGCCCAAGAAGCGTCTGCGTGCCCAGTAAGGACCACTGGACTCCGCCCTCCAAGCACTAGCCCCATGCCCGACGTACTGCACAGGTAGCGCAATACCCTCTTCGCTGCAGCCATGTGCTCTGGTCGGTGTCTCCCAGGAGCAACATAGCGTGCAAGGATGCTCAGAGGGTATGCAAGGTCAGGTCGTGTGCAGGTCATCAGGTACATGAGGCAGCCAACAAGCTCTGCATACGGACCACTCGACTCTACGGACTCATCCGAAGGCAGAGCTGAGAGTGAGTGGCGAGTAGGCAGAGGAGTGGCCTGAGGCGAGGAGTACGTGAAGCCGAAGCGCTGAAGGACCTGCTGCACCATGTGTGACTGAGTCACGGTAATGGTGCGGCGTGCTCTGTCCCGAGTGATCTGCAAGCCAAGGTAGCTGCGCAGTTCACCCAGGTCTGTGCACGTGTGTCTCTTCAGCAGCTCAGACTTCACGTAGGCTAGTCCAGCAGTGTCCGCTGTGGCAAAGACCAAGTCGTCGACGTACACGAGGATGTAGAACGGCGGCAGGGAAGTGTCGGTGCGAAGAAACAGCGACGGGTCAGCAGTAGAAGGAGCAAACCCAAGAGCCGCAAGCGTAGTCCTCAGTGTGTCGTGCCACTCACGCGGTGCCTGGCGGAGACCGTAGACTGGCCGTCGGAGGCTCCACTGGGTGCCAGGAGGGAAAGTCCCAGTGAAGCCAGGCGGACGGCGCAGCCAGATCTCCTCGTGCAGGCTACCCTGCAGGAACGCAGTGCTGAAGTCGAGAGAGTGAAGCTCGTAGTCGCGCTGAGCGGCAATGTACAGCAGCACCCGAAGAGTGGTCATCTTCGGGGTGGGAGAGAAGGTCTGAAAGTAGTCAACTCCCTGCCGCTGACTGAAGCCACGAGCCACGTAACGCGCCTTGAAGACAGGCGGCGAGCCCGGCGGCCGCTTCACCCTGAAGATCCACATGCCACTGACGATGTTCGCCCCAGGAGGGGGAACCGCGTCAACGTAGGTGCCTGTGGACTTCCAGGAAGCCATCTCTGCATCCATAGCTGCCTGCCACTGAGAGGAGTAGGGACCCTCTACGGCCTCCGCGTAAGAACGCGGAGTCGGGATGTCTAGTGCATCCGGGTCTCCCTCAGGGGCTAGCAGTACAGACGCGAGACGAGGTGAAGCAGCGGCTAGACACTGGAACTCCTCCTGCCTGTCCTCTAGGACGTCCGTGCCAAGGGCACACTCACCCCCGACGGACGGAGGACAGGCGGACTCTGACTCAGCGACAAGACGAGCAGCGTAGTCTAGACGACAGCGCGCAGCAAAGTCGACAAGCTCAGTGACAAGGGCAGACGCAGCAGACGACTCGAAGGAAGGGTCAGTGACAGCAGTAGCAAGGAGACGCGTGACAGTAGGACTGGCAGCACGAAGAGAGTCCGACTCCGGGTCGGCAAGAGCAGGAAGAGAGGAAGCAGGAGGAGAAGGCAAAGGGGCACGCAGAGGAGCAGTGGACGGACGCAGTGACATCCGGTGCGTGCCAGGGACAGGAGGAGGACGCTGACGCGACCCGCGACCACTAGCGCGCTCAGTACGAACAGGCGACGCAGGACGAGACGCAGGCTCACGACGCTCAGTAAGGCCTCCAGTCGGACCAGCGTAGGGAGAAGGAGCAGGCAAAGGGGAGGCAGGCTCTAGCTGTGGCTGTGACCGGACAGGCTGCGGACCCTCTAAGGGAGGAGGAGGAGGAGCAAGACCAAGAACCTGCTCCAGGAGCGGAACGAAGTACGGTCGAGACCGCGCGGCGACGCCAGAAACAGCAGGAACAGAACCAGCAGCTCCGGCCGGAGCACCCACTCCAGCAGCACCTCCAGCAGAACCACCAGAAGCTCCAGAACCTCCAGCAGCAGCACCAGGAGCACCGTCAGTCGGACCACCAACCGCAGGCTCAGCGCCAACGTCCTCAGCAGGACCAGCTCCAGGAGAACCCTCAGACCCAGCAGCTCCAGCACCCACAGGACGAGCACCGCCAGGTCGCGTGGCAGCAGCGCCCTCCGCAGCCGAAGAACCACCAGCACCAGCGGCACGCCTCCAGCGCCGGGCAAACCACTCACGCAGCTCCTGTGGAGAGAGCGGCTCCCGGCGAGACGAAGCACCCCCAGGCACAGCACCTCCAGGCTCGGCACCTCCAGGCTCAGCACCCCCAGGCTCAGCACCCCCAGGCTCAGTACCCCCAGACACAGCACCCCCAGGCACAGCACCCCCAGGCTCAGCACCCCCAGGCACAGCACCCCCAGGCTCAGCACCCCTAGACTCCGCACCCCCAGGCTCAGCTCCCGCAGCAGCACCAGAGTCACTAGTGACCTCGACAGGCTCGACCGCGTCTACCTGAGACACACCTGAAGGGGCAGGACCCTGAGGGGGGAGGGGGACTACTGGGGGGGGACCTGGTACCAAGAAGAGCGGGGGTGGGGGGAGGGACGGAGTGCGGTAGGGGAAGAGGCGGTAGTAGGGTACCGACTTGTCGAACGTGATGTCCTGGGAGGACAGAACACGTCGAGAGGTGGGGTGGTAAAACTGCCACCCAGGGGCGTCGGGGGGGAACCCGAGGAAGACGCAGGGAGAAGCACGAGGGGACAGCTTGTCCGCAGACAGGTCGCGAACAAACGCCCGAGATCCCCAGACCCGGAACGCCGACGCATCGCCAACCTTCCCCGTCCACAACAGAGCTGGGGAGGTCTCCGGTCGAGAGACCCTGGGGTGGAGGTTGATCTGGTGCGCAGCGTACCTGACCGCAAACGGCCACAGAAAATGGGGAGCAGCCGCATGCATCATGGACGTACGAGCGACGTCCATGACCATGCCAATGCGGCGCTCAGCGATCCCATTCTGCTGTGGTGAGTCCGGAAGCGTGAAGGTCTGACGGATGCCTCGCACACAACAGTAGGCACTCAGGAGGGCAGAGGAGAACTCTCCGCCTCTGTCCGAGTGCAGACGCAAGACAGGGAAGTCAGAGCCAAAGCTTCTCCGAAGCTGAAGACGAGCTGCGCGGATCCAGTCGATCAACACCTCAGTGACCTCACCCTTGCTGCGCAAGGGGAAGACTGTGGTGTAACGCGAGTAGTCGTCAACCACCAGCAGGAAGTAGCGCTCCTGACCCTGTCCACGGACGCGGGCTGGGCCCCACACGTCCATGTGAAGCGTCTGCAAC